TGGCCCCATCTTCCTTCCGAGGAGTGGCTGGTGGGTTTGAACCGTCAGCCTTCTGGTTAGCAGTCAGATGCCTTAGGCACTATGCTATCAGAGCTCTCATGTTTACCTATAGCAATTTAAAATATATATATTTTTCATTTTATACTATTTCATCCCATTATTAAGAATGAGTTTGTTTAAAGTTCTCCATTCTGTCTATGTCTAAGTGAAAAACATACCTAGTGTAATATGTGTACTTTTGCACCTAATGTTGCATGGTTGTATGGTGCAGATATGTTATGCTAGAAAAGCGGAGGGTACTAATAGCCAATGCTTATTCAAAGTCTGTGATAGCTGAGGTACTTTACACACAATTCCAGATTTAATGTAGACCTTATAAAAAGCCCTGTCAAGTAATTATTATTAACGTCATTTTACTTTAAGGATTTTGAAGGTCAAAGAAGTTAAGGATCTTGCTTAATTTAAGGTCATGTAGCCAGGAAATGGAACTTAATGGTGTTGAATATAGGTGTGACTCCAGAGCCTAAGGGTGTTTAACTGTGCCATAGTTTTCTCTTGTCAGTTGTGGGTTATACAAGTCATGAAAAGTTAAGGCCTGTCAGCAAACCTGATATGTGAAAATCTAAATTTACCAGTAGACTGCTTTAAGTTACTCATTACTTTTTTATGAGAGAATTCAACTTACGGTCTTTAAACGACATGATCCAACACTTAAAAAATATCATCTGTTTTACCACAGTTCAGTTTCCACTTAATATTTTAGGAATACTTGCATTGTGAGATTGTATGAAATGAGGCAAACCTATGTTTTGGGATTCTGTATTCAAGATCTACTTTGTGAATACTTGTTTTGTGCCCAGTTCTGGGTATTTGAGATACAAGGTCTGCAAAAGCAGACATGGTCCTTGCTGGCTCTGAAACTGGCATTCCTAGGTTTCAAATCTTGGTTCCATCTCTTCCTAGCTGGGTAACTTGGGCAGATTACTTAAATCTTTTAAGTATATTTATTTCTACATCTGTAGAAGAGAAATAATAATAGTACCTCTCTTCAGGTCGTTGTGAGGATTAATTGAGATAACGCATAGTCATAGTATGAGGTATATCACCACACCTGGGATATACTGAAACACTTACTAAATGTTACTTTTCATTATCTTGAAAATAGCATTTAAGAATAAGTAACTTTCTTAAAAAAAAAACCAAACTGATGGAAATTATTCAATGCCATCCTCTTCAGTCTGGGACAGTAATCTTCTTGGTATTACTTCAAAAATTTTGTAAGAGTTTCGTCTCATGCTGTTCTGCGCACTACCATATATATTTTAAAATTGTGGTAAAAACTACAAACATTTATATTTTCCATATTTTAAGGACTGTGTTAGATAATTCCAGATATAAGAGCATATATGTTTGGCTCGTGGCAACTCTTGTAGCTTTTTTAAAAAATTACCTTCTGAATAAGAAGATAAAGAATTATTTTGTGATTCTTTTTTATGTTGTATATTTTTTGTGGCAGTATTTATTTTTGAGGAAAGCATTCTTCAGTGACTACAAACAAAACATTACAACAGCTTTACTCTGATTTATAATTGGTATTTTGTGTGATTTTCTTGAATTTTCTGAATTGAAGCTATTTCTAAGTATTTTTAGAAGATAGTAAAATTGAAAGCTAGATATTTTCTGTAGACTTATAACAGTATTTCAATATTTAAATATATAAATCCAAGTAGTCCAAGTGCAAGTAATTCTGAATTATAAATGGATCATTTATAAAAAGTTACACAAGATTAGTCAATGGAGTCATGTTTTCTTCTAGATTCTTCAGTTGCTTTAGGACAGTGTGATTTATCAAAGGCTTTAGAAGGAATGAAATGAATCCAGATACCATTTTTTAGAGAAATACATAAAAACTATTCAAAGATTTCTTTAAATGGTTTTCCAGTGATAGTAATTTTATAATAACAGTTAAATTTTCTTTTTGTGACTTGATGCGAAACCCTTGTTTGTAGTACTTTTAAGAGTATTTGCTTAGCTATATCTCCTGTAAAAAGATATGTCATGCTGTTTTTATTATCTGGTAATAAAGCTTGCTAGAGAAAGTCTTGCTTTGACATGAAGTTATTACCATGTTTTTCATTATCAAAGTCCAAATACTAATAAGGAAAGCCAACTCATAAGCTGGAGAGGTATATAAACAGTTCAATTACAGTGAAAGCTAAAACACATTTAGTATTTTTTTCTATGTTCATAATTCCTTTAAATCCTGATTGAGTCATTTTGGAAGTATGTAAGAGATCATTTGTTTCAGGAGAAACAATTTTTTCTTGGTAAACAAAAGATTGTGAAGTTGGCATGTAGTTTTTAAAAAAGTAGATTTTAATGTGGATTTTTAAAGCCGTTTTATACAAGCAGATTTTAAAAGGTTTCTTTCAGTGTATACAGCCAGCTTTTGTGTCACCTTAGATGTTATAACTGGAAGTCAGTTACAGTTCTGGGAATGAATGCTGGCTTTACTCATTTATTCTAAGCTTTTATGTGTAATCAAACTTTTGGCATGTATGCTAATTCAACTGTGTAAGCTTAGTCACAATTTTCAGAAATCTTTTGTTGAAGTTTATTGAAATTAAGATTTAGTTACCAGTTTTAATGGTACCATTTTCAAGAAGCAAGTTCAAGAGATAATTTGTTCTTGGAAGCCAGATGGCATAGAAATGGTTTAGCTGTTCTTGGGGAAGAAAAAAAGTACACTTACATTAAAAGCTAAGTTACTGGATTATTTCATTGAGACAGTAATGTATAAAATTTAATTAAAAAATAACTTCTTAGTTAACATGAAGTAAATCAATGAATAAAACTTAGCGAGTATGAGGTTTAGTATCAAAATAGGTATTGAAAAGAATCAGTAAAGTTCTTTTATAAGAATAAGGTCTAGAGACATTTAATATTTTTGACCTTGTAAAACACAAATGGATATTTAGGGTGATTCTGAAAACCCGCTCCTTCATTATTTTAACACCACAGTTCTCCATTGAGACCAAGTTACCCATGCTGTGTTGATGCTTACCCTAGAAAGAAATGAATTTGCTAATTTTTTTCACTTCCCAGGCCAGCTAGAGTTACTGTGGCCTGTGGTTGACTCTGTCAGTGCATAAATATTGTGTGAAATCATCAAGTAGTACAATTTGTTTTTAAATGACATATTTAACTTCTTGTTAAAATTAATACAAGCAAAGAAGCCACCAGTGCTTCCCCACCCTCTTCCTTTTATTGTCATCAAACAGTTTTGTAGGAACTTTCAGCAAGATACCAATCCAGCTATAATTAAAATGTGAAATACAGGAAATAAGCTTTGGTACCTGCCATTAAAAGGTAAATCAGTAGTTTTAATACTTTGTTACAATGTCATTTTGTTTCACTGTAGCTCTGTTTTAGTAGATCTGCACATGTATTTGGTTAATCTCACAGTTCTGTTTCTTTTTGATATTTGCCATAAGTAGAAAGCATTAAAATATTTCATTATTATTTACTTAAATGAACAATAGATAGTTACATGCTTGATCACTATGCAGGTACCCAAGACATTCTGATTTAAGACAGCTTAACGAAAAATAAGTAAATAGCAACAGCATTCTGTCTTTATTTATAGTGTGTGGAAGATCGCTGTTTCGTTTTAGGTATAAGAGTCTCTCATCAGCAGGAACACCCGTAGAAGGACATCATTAGCGATAGAATTTACATACCGTTAGCTCACAGTAATTGAATAGCAGCAGGGCTCTGTAGTACAGAGCTGGCTGGGCACATTGTTTGGGATGCCTTTGATGTTGCTGCGGTTATCCGAAGCTTGCTGGCTGCATGCTTGTTGCTTTGTTCTGAGACAGGTAATTACTTGATAAAATGAAGTGCATCGCTGTGAACAATTGACCCTTTGGAACAATCCAGGCTGGTCAGCAATCTAAAACCACACTTTAAAGCCATCATTATAGCTTCAAACTTAAGAGTTTCCAAGGTGCAAACAAAGGTGTTGTCTTCCTTTAGTACAAGTCGAGTGCCATTTTCAGACTTTATGAAGTATTTAAATTGAATGATATTAGATGATACTGAAAACTCCTCTGGAAATCCATCCAGCCTGCTTTTGGACACCAGAACAATGCGAGATTTTATTTTTGATATGAAATCAGGAGCATTACAGAAGATTCTCAGTCCTTGGGAGCGATCATGGTTATCTGTTATTTCCAAGAAAGTAGTCTCTCTGGATGTTAGCTGTTCCTTTTCCCACCTGGATTTCACTTCTTCTGCCAGTCCTTTGAGTTGAAAGAATTCTGCTTCTTGTGCGAGAAGTTGATTTTCTCGAAACCCTTCAGGCAGCAGAAGTTCTCCATTTCGTAGGAAGTTTAGGACATGCCTGAAGAGGAGCCCATCCCTGTCTATGAAATAATGACCATCGGCATCAAATGGACAGAGGATTTTTCCATTTACTATACCTTCAAGGAAAGTGTCAGGGTACTTGGTCAGTGTTTGTTTCTGAGTAATGTATAAATATCCACCAACGTTGAGGGTCGTCAGTGTGGATTTGCAGTTCCTCCCTTGGTCGGCGTCTTCTGTGCTGTTGTGCTTCCCTTCATACTCCTTTTCTTTTTCTCTTCTGTTTATTTTACGCTCCATTTTTGAAGATGCTGTTGCAGCTTGTTCCTCTTGGCTTTGAGATTTTTTAAAAAGAAACACTACCACCCAAAGAAGCCTTTATTCAGCTCCAGCCTGCTGATGGAATGGAAACACTGGCAGCATCGCCTGCGCTGTCAGCTGGGTTTTGCAGTAGGTGGCGTGTCAGCTATGTATGCAGGAGCTTTCTGGAGTAAGACAGGAAAAAGATCATTAGCATTTAACTGTATCAGGGAAGGGAGTCCTTGTGAAAGGATAGATTACTGGAAGTAATGAAAATTATTCAGAATAAATTACATTTGTTTTCTTGGTTAAGCAGTTAAGATTGTTTAATTCTCCAGTAAAATCCATATCTAAATACCTTTTAAATTATTATTTAGTGAAGCAGGCTTACTATTGAACAATACTATCATCTTTTGGAAAAATAATGTATATTGAATTAGTATCATTTTTTTCAAAAAGTAAATCACAGATAGATCACCCAAGGAGAAAGGAACTAGTGGCACAAGATTTCTCTCCTGTGAAAAAATTGCAGACTTCACAGTGGTCTAGTCATTTTTGAGACCCAAATAAGAATATTTAACCTGATACAGCATTTGAACTTAATTGGATTTGCATGTGACTGTGACTTGGGAGTCTTTAGTAAATGAGAAAAAGATTTCTTAATGTTCTTTAACAAAAGGTCCTTTTATTACTTTTTTTTAACCCTAAAGGTAAAAAATCAAGCAGGAAGGATTTACAGTAATCATTTACATACATATATGTATGTATGTTTTTTTTTTTTGCTCAAGTTTTCCTATGGAAAATTCATAAACTTGAGCATTCTTGTTTTACCCTAAACCTGCTTCATTGCTAAACAAAGACTTGGACTGTTAGAGAAAATACTGTAACTGTGTGTGTTGGAAGAGAAGAGAGAGAGGGAGATTCAGAATACAGAGTGTAGAATAGGGTCTTGGGTAAGTTACAGTTAGCTTTTTTGTGTATGTTCTCAAATGCTGGTAAAGGACCAAAACCTTAAAACAAAACAAAAAATCCTGAGAGCTGAAACAATGTGAGTGTGATGTTTTTCCCTTTCTTTTTCTCCTCCTTCTTCTGTAACTTGCCTTCCACAGCATTTTAGAGATCTGAGCTTTCACTCCTACAATTTAAAGGCCCAGTGGTAAGAAAGATGAATGCCTTCTCCAGCACACTGTTATTAGACTGGTCTGTTGGCTAAAGTATCCTAAGTAACTACATTGTTCTTTGCATTAGACGTCACATCTCATGTTAAATTGGTTTATACTTCTGTGATATCAAAAGTAGTTTTTAATTATTCAACTGCATGTTGGTAGAAATTTTGGAGCAGCTTTTTCTGAAAATGCTTACCTTTTCTTTAAACAATGTTAACTTTTCTTCAATTATAAAAAGTGATGCCCCAATAGGAGCTCTGGTGGTGTAGTGCCTAAGGCATTTGACTACTAACCAGAAGCCTGGCGGTTCAAACCCACCAGCCATTCCTCGGAAGGAAGATTGGACAGTTCTACTTCTGTAGTGATACCGCCTCGGAAACCTAAGGA